CTCTCTCTCTCTCTCTCTCTCTCTCTCTCTCTCTCTCTCTCTCTCTCTCTCTCTCTCTCTCTCTCTCTCTCTCTCTCTCTCTCTCTCTTGCTGTAGCATGTGCATGCGTGCACATGTTGCGCACACACACACACGACTATTCTCTCTTAGGGGTATCGATAACTCTGGGCGATGTCGTGAGTCCTTATCCATCTGTCAAATGCATCCTGGGCAGACTGTCTGTCCAGGTTCAACCTCCTGACGAGTCGGTGAAAGTCAGACGAAACGGTCTGGCACAGTCATGCTTTTTTTTTTTGGAGTTGTGCATAGCGAATGTGACAAACTCACACACACCCCTGTAGAATCTTCTGCTGAAGGATCTGAGCGGTCACAGTGATCAGCACTTGAACAAGTGCAAGAAAGAGAATCTTTTCTATCCGATTCAGAGTTGGCCAAAGAAAGAAAGCGAGGTTCACAATCTGAACGGTTGACCAGAATGTTCAGGATGGTTTTTAACTTTTTAATAGTTTTTGACTTTTTTATGGATGTGAAGATGACTGAAAGCACCACCTTGTGCTTGTCCTTTTTTCTTTCTTTCTTTATCTGGACGTTGTTGATTCTGCTTTGCTGTGCGGCAGGTGGATTTGGCGGAAATGTGGACCATGACCCACACATACTGTACACTCTAAGCGCCATCCAAATTCTCGCTCTCTATGACAAGCTGCATCTACTGGATGCTGATCAGATTGCTGCATGTATCCATTTCGACATTCTGCCCAGATTCAGACTGCTGCCTGTATCCACTTTGACATTCGGACCAGATTCCCACTGTATATAGATATGTAATCTGGGATTTTTCTTTTTTTGCAGACAAGAGTTTTGTCCTGGGTGGTCTTGTCCTGTCGTTTGGCCTGTGAAGGAGGGGCGGTGCTTGTATGTGGGACTTGTCATCTAGGATCCGTTTTTGGTGTTTGTTGCCCCCTGTTTTGTTGTATTTGGCTGTTCCCTTCCTCTTTTCTTTGCCTCTTTGCCTTTTGGCTGTGTGGAAGTGGGTTGATATGACACACGGGGGTGGGGGCAGCCGCCGCTCAACCTACATCCACGTGGGCGGCCTTGTACGCAAGAGGTTCTGAACAGGGGGAGTTGTGAGAAAGAAGATAAAAAGATTCAAAAAACGAATTATTTTTTTTCTTGTTCTTCTGTTTTTTTCACCTTTGCACTCTGATATTCATGTGACGATATATACATATTCGAACAGAGCTGCCCGGTAAACCGTAGGCAGAGAGGGAGAAGAGGACAGCAAAGGAGGGGCTGTGAAAAACTTTTTCGTCTATATATATCTTCCCATGGTTGCATCCCTGCCGACCGCCGACCCCGACCGCCGACCGTATTGCAGCCAACCAGTAGGGCCGACCGGTCGGCGGTCTGCCGACCGGTCGGCGGTCTGCCGACCAGTCAGAAAACAACCATCCACTAATTTGTTTTCAGATCTGAGTTGGAAGCTGTACTGCGCTTGCTGAGTACAGCCCGAATCCGCTGAGAAACTTTTGGGAATGAGGGGGTTGGGGGTGGGGTGTATAGGGGGATATAGGGGGGTATAGGGGTGGTATAGGGGGTATTGGGGGAGGTTATGAGGGTGTTGGGGGCCAGTTTGTGGGTTTGGGGGGGTGTTTGGGGTTATTAGACCGAAAAAAAAAAAAAAAAAAAAAAAAAATTGCAGGGTGCCGACGACCCCCGACTGGTAGGTGCCGACCAGCCAACCGGTTGGCGGGTCGGCAGCCGACCAGTCAGGGGTCGCCGGCAGTCGGCGTGTGCAACACTGTATCTTCCCACAAATGAATGAAAAATATAATGTTGGATGGATCACGTGCAGTTCCTTTTTTTGTAGTAGAGGGTGGAGGCCAGGCCTCAGGAGATGCCCGTAGTACTCATCCATTGGGAGGTAAGATGGGTTCTAGGGCCCAGAGGGATACTAGTGCTCAGATCGCAAGTCGTGATCTGTGGCAACGCTTACCGGACTGACCCGAACGTCTTCGTGCAGACACTACCCGAGCTCTAATGTCAAGGACGACCCAGGCAGAGGTGGGGTCCACGCAGATGCGGTCATCCCCCATCTGTGCCTCATCCCGCAGACTCTAGTAGGCACCAAACCACTCACCTTTCCACTAAGGTGCGATATCCCTCCTTCCCTCCCTAAGCATGATGCCCCCTATCCCAGGCTCCCCTTGAGGGGCCCCAATTGTTATGGATTCCACCAGGGCTCGATCCCTGGTCTGCGGGTTACCACCTGCCAGCTTGATGTATTTGTTTTCCTTTTCTTTGTTTGCAATTCTTTTTGTTTTTTATTCTTGCTTTTCTGATTTCCGACAGTTGGCGCCATCTGCATTCTGGCGCCCGTTTTCAAATTCCTTCTTTTGGGACTTTCGGATTTCGGACACTTGGCGCCATCCGACATTCTGGCGCCCACTCTCAGACTTTCGATTTTCAGTTCTGGCCCTGAGGCATTTTCACTTTCGCCCTCAGGACCGTACTTGAGTCCGGTACTTGTGTACGTATGGGCACCAAGCTTTCAGCCTCAGTGCTTGTGTTCAGTGCGACTTTGCTTCGACATTGTGTTCGGGAATTCAAGACTGCGACTTTGCAACTTTTGCCACTTTGTGTCTGCGTCCGTCGAGTCGTGCTCGAGTCCGCTTTCGAGTTGAGTGAGCATGTGTGTGTGCTCTTACTCTCCCTCTCTCTCCCAGCCTCGCTGCTCTGCCTCTGCCTCGTCACACCAATCCAGCTAATTCCCCCAATGAGAATACCCAATGGACCCCAACCTGGATGAAGCGCCATCTCACAGGCATCATATGTTACCTGTGGGATCAAGAATGCCCAGCACCCTGCCCCACACTAACACCCGCAGCATTTCCCTATTCGGATCCTACCGTAGTCTAGGTTTCGCTATGTGTGGACTCTTGTGTGGGTACCATAGTGATGGGAAACGTACCGGTCATACCCAGACTCGCCGCAGAACCCCACAGACTAGAACAGACTGACGAGACCGACAATTCGGAGAGTTCCAAATCGCGTGCAGAGGGTACCTATTGTTTCAAGCAGTTCCTAGTGATGTAGGGAGGGCCCAGGGCCCTACCAGCGACCCTATCACTGTCTCTTATACACATCTAGATGTGTATAAGAGACAGCCATAGGAAGGGGTAGTGGAAGGAATCGAGCAGTAGAAGAGTATAAAGGAAGGAAACAACAGAAACAAGGGCAACAGCAGTTATAGGCTAACGTA